GTCTCCTCTTTTCTAAGCTGAGAAGTCCCAGTCTCTTTAGCCTCTCTTCATATGGGACCTGTTCCAAATCTCTGATCATTTTAGTTGCCCTCCCCTCTCCCACCCTCTCTCTTCCCCTCTCCCACCTCCTTTTCCCAGTCTCCCCGAGTTTTGTTTAATAAAGAGAGTTTCTATTTTTGAACACACGTGTCCTTTATTTTGTAAATCAGGAAGGGAGGCTAGGGAGGGGTAAGTGGAAGGAGGTGAGGGAGGAATGGGGTACTAGGCCATGAAGGGGAGGACTGGGCTGGCTCTGCAGGCTCCTCGGGGTGGAAGCCCTCCTGCAGCCCCCTGACTGACCCCCCCCCGGACGGCAGCCTGCGGCAAGTGCAGCCGGGCTGATGGCCGAGTGTGGGCACTCATGGCACCAAGCCAGGACTGTTTTGCTGTCCCTCATCGAGGCAGACAAGCAAGCAGGGAACCCTGAGAACTGTCTGTCCGGGGGGGAGGAAGGGGGAAGGGTCGGGTCCCTTTAAGCACAGCCCTCAGCTAGCCTGAGACAGCAGCTCCATGCTCTACGTCCTAATCTGATGCCCTGCCGGCACTGCTTCCGGCCATCCTTAACCTCGGGTCAGGGTCCACTCAATGTGGACATGCTAGTTCGAATTAGCAAAAATTAGCTTAGTTCGAATTAACTAATTCGAATTAAGTTAGTTCGAATTAGCGCTGTAGTGTAGACATACCCCAAGTGATTTAGGACTACACAGGTCAAAACCAACACCTTAAAACAGACCCAAGAAAATAAATGGATAGCCACTGCAGATTAGGGATCACAGTTGTGTTGCCAGGTGTTAAAATAATCAGTTAGAGGAAGATGCATTAATGAAATGCTACAAAATTATCTGGCATATAGTACACAAGGGTCAATATTAACTTTTATAGCAGGATAAATACAACTCTTTAGCACTTAGACAGGAATGTGGGAAGAGTATGATATTTCATTATTTTTAGATGTAATTGATAGTTCAGTGCAAATGGCTCTCAAAAGCATAGTTGATGTTCAACTTTAACTTTCACATTTTATGATGTTAGTGTTCAAAGGAGCAGTCAGTTTAAAAACTGCTTCTCAAATATTTTGTTTAATATAACTGAAAGCTCAAAGATCAGTGACTTCTGGTTCTTCACTTTAACATGTACATGTGACAGCACTGTGTGTACGGTCACTTCCCCTTACTTGTGTTGGTCTTTTCCATAGTAGCAGCAAAGAAAAATGTTATGGTATGACTATAAAAGCACAGGACTAGCCAGGATACTCCAGGACACGTCTGACCCAAAACTTAACTGTCAATTGAGTGGTTTTCAAGCTGATGGACTTCCTTTATCTAGGTAGCCATAATGACACACACATATGTAGATACTTAAATTTAATTTCCTCCCCTAGAAAAGGAAGTGGAAAGAGGGAGAAGAGGAACCTCTCCAAGGCCTCAAGTTTACATGGCTTGAGAACAGCCAATAAAACCAGCAAATTCAATTCTCAACTTTCTAGCTCACCATTACCAGAATGTCTCCACTGAAGATGATTTTGGATTCTTCAGGCATTTGAAAAGAATGGCCAAACCAAATGAGAACACTTCATGATAGCTTAAGTTCAATCATCATTTTAGGTGAACACTTAATGAATTTAAGATAATATTACAAATGCTTGTAACTTGACAAAATTAAAACCAATTTCCAAGACTGTTTCCATACCAAACAGCAAGTGTTAATTTTACTGTAACCGTGGTCAGCCCTCATTAGATAAAGGGTCTCGCAGTACAATGAATTATGAAAGGCCACCAATGGAAAAGATAGGATTATATCACAGGCTATTTTGGCTCCCACCAACTGCATAAACAAAGAGGTTTGTAAACACAGAAAGAGACTAGTAAAAAAGAGTTTTAAAAATAAAAGTTTATCATCACACATGTAAAGTTTTGTGGGCTGGTTTATAGCCACCTTGTGGGATTAGAGTTTTATACTGCCACCCATAACTACACTATCAGTGAGTATGCATCACTGTGTAATTATTTTATGCCCCATGCACATTTCTAGCAAGCTTAGCAAAGTCTCTGTACCTGCTTTGTAGGCGTTTTTACATTCACATAACTTGGTTGAACTAAAGCAAGCTTTCTAAGAATCCAGTATGCATTTCTCTTGATCAGACTAAAATTTTCCAGCCTCTGCTATTTTGATACAAGACTCTTTATAATAAAAAAATATTAATTAAGACTTCCGGTTCTCTACAGTATTACTCCGTTATGGTAGAGCTATTTTCGTTCCAACTTTGCAGAGAAGTTAATCATTGGGCTCAGAAGTGTTCACCCCAGTAGGCGAAGATCTGAAGACCTATGAATAATCAGTTATACTTCCCCAGCTACAGTACACTGGAGCATTGTGGTATCTGTCTAATACATGAGAAGGATTCTCCAGTATTATAAAATGATAATGAATTATGATATGGGCATGGTCACTTATACACCTGATCCATTACTTGCATCCTTCGCCTGAGCAATAAGTTCTTCACTAGGACTCCTTGGGTAAGAAGCTTTTGACTGACAACACTGTAAACAACTGGTTGTTACATTAAAGTCTGTCTCATACACCAGCTTCTCTGAAACTGTCCTCCTTCCTTAAAGATAGGGAGAATAGTGTAAAGAGCTCAAATAGGATAAAATAAAAACTACCTTTCTAAGTACTATACAAATATTAACTAATAAATCATACCACCAGCATGGAAGGCATATAACCTAGTTCCTTTAAACTTAGAATTTAAGCCAATGGACAGAGCTAGACTAAAATCTCCAAAACATGCCTTTTTTACATTATGTAACATCAATTATATAAAACACACTGTTAAACACATTGCAGATGCTTTCAGCAGAGACCAGGATATAAAAAACCCCTCAGATTATGAGACCAGAGTCTTATTTAAATCTCAGAAATGAATGTCCCCCTGTGGTCCTTCAAAGTCAAAACTGAGATCTCTTTAATGTGACTTGAAAACCTATCCCTGCATGTTGCTCAGTCCCACACAGTTTGCCATAGTTAGAAGGATACACCATGAACTCAGGTCAATTTATTCTCCTGTGCTGCATGACTCAAGTGTCAGATCTAAGAGCTGGAACCAGGAAGAAAGATGGATGTTCTACCAGTTTTAAAATGAACATTTCAAAGATCCTGTAGTAACTGTCCACCTAGTCCAAGGCTACTCAACACACAATTCGTGGGCCATGGATGGGATCCTTTGAACATGGCTTCCACAACAGCGAGTCAATATAACCGTCTTCTATTTATATGCATTTTAGTAGTTAAATTCCTGGACTGTCATTGCCCCTTAAAAGTGCTGCCATATGGATAGAAATCAGGTAAATATTACATTTTATTAACATCAACAGAACTGACTTAAATGGGACCTGCGTGTTGTGTAGTCTTGCCTTAATCTTTGTATTCATGCCCATCAACATGAAAGAAGTTAGCTGCATATATATTTGCATGCATATGCAGCCACTCTTAAGCTGCGGCACTCAGCATGTGCTGTGACTATCATTGTGGCCCCCAGCGCTTCCAAAGTTGAGTAGCCCTGACCTAGTCCATGGCATGAGGAATCTGGGACAAGCAAAGATAGGAATTCATGCAATGACTGTGCACTAACTACTGTGAAGAGCCTAGTATTTGGAGAGAAAACAGCTGCAGAAATGAAAGTTTACAGAACTCTTCATGGATTGCAGTGCATATTTTCTCCCAATGACTTAAGTTCTACAAGTGGCTTTGAGAAGACTCTTACCGTCTGGGACTTCATCTGGTCGCTTCCTCTTCTCATAAACCACTATGATAACAATAAGGATGATAATTTCTGCCAGTATGCCCAAGAAGGGCCAGAGGGGGGCTAAGTGGCTGCGCACTCGCAGGATGGTGGTGGCAGAGGTAGTACCAATTGTATTGGTTGCATTGCACTCATAATCGCCAGGATCCTCACTTATCTGGAGGTTTGTGATACTCAGCTCAGTGTAATTGTCTTTATTTGTAATGAAGAATCGGCCAGAGGAGTTGTTGATTTCCTGTAAAAAGAAGAAAGGGAACAGAGGGGGATGGGAACTCTTGAGTAAGCCCAAGTGATAAGTTGTCAGAGTAGAGCTACAGTGCAAAGAAAAACCTGTGCCAGCAAATCTCAGAGGTAAAGTCAATTGAATAGTAGTGTAGACATTCCTACGTGGGCAGCAGCCCAGACCATGAAATTTGTCAAGGGGGAGGGGGTCTTGGCGCCCAGAGGGAACATCCACACTATTATTTACTATGAGGCTTGCTGCTGCATACCGTCCCCCCACCTTTGCAGTATACATATACAGTTTCCATTCAGTAATTGTGCCGCCTGAGAAAATTTAAAGGGAATCTTGTAAAAGCAAAGAGGTTTACTTCAGAATATTCAACAGCTTGAGTCCAATGTTAGTACTCTGTCTTAAACTCCTTAAATGTAGAGAGAGCTAAAGTCAGTCTACAGAGCATGCACTTCAAATGCAGCTCTGCTCTGAAAGGAATACAAAAATGGCATCTTAAATCAGCAGACTTTGCTCACTGGAATGACAAAAATTATACGACTTTCTTTTTTAAAAACTGTCAGGCACTCAACAAGAACACAGCCATGATCATATAAACAGAATTCTTTTCTGGCTTGTGCATCAGTGAAACTATCAAATCCCAATTGTCAACTCTAAGGGTATGTCTCCAGTATAGGTGCATCAACGCTGCAGCAATCAATCTACAGGAGTCAATTTAGTAGGTTTAGTGAAGACCCATTGAATTGGCCACCGAAAGTGCTCCTGTTGACTCCAGTATTCCAATGGAACAAGAAGCTTAAGGTAAACAGACACCACAATAAGTTGACTTATAGTGCATCATCTCCAGCTACGATATTCACGAGGTTGACTTTACCCCGCAGTGCAGACCTGCCCTAAGCAATAAGCTTGCACAGATTTTGCTAAACATCAGAAATTACTATGAATTATGTGAAATTTGCAAGGCTAGTGAGTAAAATACATTCTGATCTGATAGTCATGTGAAGCTGCACATTTTTTCTATGGGTATGTCTACACTGCCACCCTAGTTCGAACTAGGGTGGCAGTGTAGACATACCCATAGAAAAAATGTGCAGCTTCACATGACTATCAGATCAGAATGTATTTTACTCACTAGCCTTGCAAATTTCACATAATTCATAGTAATTTCTGATGTTTAGCAAAATCTGTGCAAGCTTATTGCTTAGGGCAGGTCTGCACTGCGGGGTAAAGTCAACCTCGTGAATATCGTAGCTGGAGATGATGCACTATAAGTCAACTTATTGTGGTGTCTGTTTACCTTAAGCTTCTTGTTCCATTGGAATACTGGAGTCAACAGGAGCACTTTCGGTGGCCAATTCAATGGGTCTTCACTAAACCTACTAAATTGACTCCTGTAGATTGATTGCTGCAGCGTTGATGCACCTATACTGGCATTTTTATCAAGTCACTTCTGAGAGTAGCCTAGTTGGGTCTCTGGACTCAGATTGGGGGGAGGGGGAGGAGTGAGGGGAGGAGGGGGGAGAATGCTGCTGTTCTATGATGCATTTGCTGAGTATCATTTTTCCATTTAAAATGTATAGATTCTATTACTTGGGTTCAGATCCATCTGAAGTCAATGCACAGTTCGTTAAGTCATTTGCAAGTATGGGTGTCTAGTAGATGTATGCCCACTCTGTGCCAGGGATGAAAGATCTCACCTTTGACATATAAGTCTGCTCCTTAAAATTACATCATCATCTAATTGGGCCCTTTTACCTCAAAGAGTTATGTTCTAATGTGACTTAGATCATAAGCAAAGTGCTGATTGAGTATTGCCTCAATCTAACCTATAGAAGGATTCTGTCACATTGTAGATTCTGCAGCTAACTTGGCAAACACTTTTAGTGCTGCAATTTAGGGTTAAGGTGCAAGTGTAGAGTTTGGAGGGAAAGGGACCTAGGACTGGATATACAAGAAACACTACAAGTTAGGATTGATGCGCATCAGATTCAGTTGCATCACGTCCAGTTTAGACTTCGTTTCTCTGGAAAACCAAAAACAGGTCTATCATGTAGCTTTCACCGTCAAAGAAATCGTAGGGAAATTTTCACTTCAATTCATTCTATTATGGGTATATCGTGATGTTCTTTCTATATACAAGCATGTTTGTAACTCATAGGCAAAGTGAAGAAGCCAGGACCATCTATGATCTCAACACTTACTAAATCTTTTGCCTAAGAGACCAATATCCACATAGAAAAATATGATTGCCAAACTTACACCAACTCTCACAGTGAATCTAATGAGTCAGCTTCATAATTAAAAAAAAAAATCAATCTACATTAGTAGATATCATGGGAAAACACTTGTTTGCACTGTTTTGGATGATGCTTCGCCCATCCAGGAATGGCTTGTGTTACTGTTTTTATTAATTACCACCATTGCAATAAAATGCACCTATACTACAATAGTACAGAATGCGCATAAGATTAAAGCAGCCAGTGACATCAACATTCATCTTGCATTTTAATATAGATATGACTAAGCTTAGCTGTAGCTTCTCACATGTGAATGCCAAGGGTCATTTCTTTACATGCTATAATCGGAAGACTGGCTTTCAAGGGTAACTGGAGATTCTGCTTAGAATGGAAGTCAGTGATAAAATCTGAATACAATTTCTCTCTGATTAATGGGTTCTAAGAATACAAAAAACAGATCTGAAGGGACTTTCACAATGCATCCTGTTCAAGTTACCCACTGCAAATTACACCATCCTTCCATGTTCTTGGCAGTTCGCTTAGTGGTCACACCCAGCAGCAATGTAACAAGCAGCTTTGTTTGCACAGGAATGGAGAACAGAAACAAAGGAGACAATTTTTTTAAAGCTATCAGTATTTCAGCTACAAACTTTAAGCAGAATTACTTTACTAAAGAAATCATTTCAACTTCAGTGAGGTAGATTCAAACAGACGCCTTCCTACTGAAATCAGTTCTTCAAAGAAGTTACAAGGCATTAGTGTGCCCTAACACTGGGAAATAAAGATTCTGTCTCCTATCAGAAACTTCAGCAGGCTAATTCAGGCCTACATATTCACATTATGGCTCTCACTCACCACAAATACTCCATTGACCTTCTTCCGCCATACCCAGTCAGGATAGGGGAAGCCCACAGACTTGCAATACATGATTGCCTCTTGTCCTTCATTTTTGTTCTCACTTCGCTTGTGGACAGTGATATCAGGAACAGCTACAAAACACAAAAAGAAGTTCTGCATTTACAAACCATTTCTTTCTAGAGAGTGTTTATTTCAAGCTCTGAGAGCTTGAACAGATACTTTAATTATAAAATCCCCAAAGTGGCAAAGATGAGCAGAGTCATCAGGGTTTTGACCATGAAAGCTCATGATACGATTTTTTTTGATAGGTGCTACAGGACAACTCGTTTCTAAATAACACTGTTACCATCTCTTTGCCAGTTTTGCCACTGCAGCCTGTTGCACTGTAACACCTTGAGAGATTAGAATGGATCAGTGGACTGCCTGAGCTGACCCTTCACTTGGCAGATGGGTTGGTGTGTAACGGACCACCACCTTTAGAGCCATTCACTTGCTAGCCTAATTATGTTACACGTGGCCTGCTATGTGACTGCTGGGCAGTGATCTGTTAATCCTGCCACATCCCAGCCAACTGCTCCAGCAGTGGACCCCAGAAACTGGACATTATTCCAGGTCTCACTCAAGTGCAAAGCTTCCTTTGCCACTTTCTCCTTCCACTCTCCACAGAAGGGTAGAAAACCTGAGTTCCACATAGCACACATGCAGCTGACAGTGAGTTTAGGAAGCTAGATATATTTGATTATTCAAGTCAGTTCAGCAAGTGAATAAACAAGACCTCCAAAATGACTGGTCAGCAGAAACTGAATCTGCTCTTTACTGGCAAATAATGCAGTTTATTGTGAAAATACTTCTCAGCCACAATGAGAAGCATCTAGTATCAGATGACAGTTCTTTTGCCCTATACCACTCAAGCAGTATTTCCTATTGTTTAAATGGGCTGCTTGTATAAGGCTAGGTTTCTCAAGTTCTGTTTGGAAGGGAAAGAGTAAGACGCGAGATCAGAATAGTAGATCGAGGTCACTGCAAGACCCAAGCTAGTATCTCCTTCCAGAGAAGGAACCAATCAGCTGATTTTTATTGCTAGGGCAGCATCACAGGTGTGCTCCCATTCAGATAGTTTTTGGCACTTAAATAGCAGTTCTCATTAAAGCCTTTACAAGCATTAATCCTACTAGACAGAGTTGCACAGAGATTGTCCATCTAGAACATGGGAGAAAAAAAAATTAATGGCTTGCTCAAGGCCACTCAGCAAGTTCAGTGGCAGACTCAGGCTTTGGAGTCAGGAACCCCTGACTCCCAGTTCCACATTCTTGAGTGACCAAAACATGCTGCTACCTTCCAGCAGATATGATGCATAGCTATTACTGCATAGGATTTGTTTAGTACAGCCGGTTACACTGGCTACAACCCCTAGGAAAGGTAAACGTTAACCCAGAAGTCCCTGAACTGCGGAGCATGCCTTCCCGGGGGTGGAAAATACAAAGAAACAAAGGGAGGGCACATCTGGGGCCTGAGCCAACCCCTATGGGGGGGGAGGGGGAGGGAAGAAGAGACAGGGAAAGGAGCAGCTCAACTCTACCCCTGGGCCAATTGCCGGCCCTGCAGCCAGGCCTTTCCTGGCTCCAGACCCCTCACTTCACTAACAGCCCCACCGCTATCCGAGGCCCCACCTCAGTTCCTCACACCATCTGTGCCCCCCCCCACCCAGGCCCCTCTCCTGGCCCCAGCACCAGGAACACAAGGTAAAAAGTTTGGGGGCCACTGAGTTAACCTGAAAAAGGCTCACTCTCCAATAGAGGAATACTGGCAACTAGATTTTTTTTATTATTATTATTTACAAATATGAAGAAGTTCTGCAAGTTTCTGGTCCCCATTTTAAGTAGGATGCTCTAAGAGTTTAAAAACAATCCTTTAAAACAGTAAAGGGGTTTTCACCTCTGATTTCAATGTAGTCTCTTCAGCAGGGAAAAACTGCTTATTTATACAGGATAAACCATGAGACTGTCCCTTGGACGCAATCTATCAAATGCACAAAAACTAAAGAAGGGTGCTAGCAACATTTTCCTCGCTCAGTTATAGTGATTCCAGGCATTACCTGAGACCATGATCGGCACTAAACAGTCAGAAAACGGGAAAGAGGGGGTTTCCATGTTGAAGAAACTCTGAACAGCTACAAGAAAACTCTGTGCGCTCTGCACAGCCATGGAGTGATACTAGGCTCACTGCCCACTTACAATCTCCTCTGTGCCCTCTACTGGGTGAAAGTCCAGTTCTCAGAGCAGAGCTCTAAAGGGGGGTAGACAATAGACAAGGGCCTGTGCAGCATGTCAGAACCATCATGGGCCACTCAGTTGACACACAGGTCACCTCCTTCCTGCTAAATTGGAAGCTAGCAACAGGGAAATGAAGCTAAGGCCAAGCAGTCATGGTGAGCCCTAAAGACATTCCTGTGTTGGGCACCAAGAATGTGAGATGCAGGGATTACATCTCACTTCACAAAATAGAACAGGCAGGAGGGAGGAGCAGAAGAGAAAAGCTAGCAGGTGACAAGGTGACAGTTCCAAAGCTGAAATCACAGGATTATTGAGTGACTGTAAATTACTCCCATTAGGAAAAGGAGAAACAGGATTCATCGGCTTAAACAGCAACCTCTCCATCTGTCAGCACAAAGCTTTTCACAGCCATATATCAGAAAGAAAGCAAAAGGCAAGTCTTGCAGAGGAGGAAGGTGCAGTCAATGAACATTGCTAATGCTGACCCACTTTTACTGCAGCAACCACCTGTTGAGGAATAAGGAGGGGAGGGGCAGAAGAGAAGTTTCTAGGATGATCACTCTAGCTGCAAGGTGACCTGGAACTCTGCTGGAGTCAGGAGATAATTACATTCCTTTAAGGAGAGGACATTTGTGCTGGGTTACCCAAAGACAGCATATGTGACAAGGATACATTCTACTTTACTGCTGGAGGTAGTTACGCAACAGCCATTTCTAATCCCGCTAGACAAAGACTATTTCTAGCATGCAGCCTCGCAAGGAAGCATGACATGCAATATTAATATTCCAGAGCCTCCTGTGCCAGCTGGTGTTCAGCTCTGGCTGAGCCATTAACCCAATGCTTATTCTGCCCAAGTGGCTTGGCCAACTGGCAGTTGTATTTTAATGGGCAGATTGCAATTAAGCAGCACAGACCACACTGGTTCACATCAACCAGGGATTTAGCAACAGAATCCTAGAAATGTAGGGCTGGAAGGGACCAAGGGAGATCATCTAGTCCAGCCTCCTGCACTGAGGCAGGAGCGAGTAAACCTGGACTATTCCTGACAGGTGTTTGTCCAGCCTGTACTTAAAAACCACAAGTGATAGGGATTCCACAACCTCCTTGGAAAGCCTGTTCCAGAACTATTTAGTTTTTCCTAATATCCATCCTAACTCTGCCTTTCTACTGATTAAGCCATTATTTCTTGTCCTATGTTCTCAGGACACTGAAAACAATTGATCACTGAGCTCCAAATGTATTTGAAGACTTTTATGCTGTGATGGTTGTCATGTATCCGTGGGATCTTTTCTTCTTTAGACTAAACATGCAGTTTTTTTAACCTTTCTTCATAGGTCAGGTTTTCTAAACTACTTTTGTTGCGCTCCTCTGGACTCTAGAAAAAAATGTGGACAAAATAAAGTGTCACTCCCAGCTTTGGACACAGTACTCCAGTGGAGGCTTCATCAAATGCGAAGTACAGTGAAAGAATGACCTCTTGTGTTTTACATACATGCTTGTTAATCCACCCAAGAAATACATTTGCTTTTTTGCAATTGCATCACCCAATGGTGACCCATTCAATTTGTGATCTACTGTAGTTCTCTTCAGCAGCACTACGACTTCTGGTCATCGACCCTAGGGCAGAGCTTGCTGCCTGCTGCTGCTGCTCCAGCCCCTGCTGCCTCCCCAGCTACCACTCCTCCTCCCCCTCCCGCTTCTTCCTCCCCACCTTCCCCACACCCCCAAGGACACCAAGGCCCCCACACTCATGGTGCTGGGAGACAGTTGGGCCAGCAAGACCCCCAACCCTGAGCCTTTCCTCTTTGGCCCATTGCCTCCCCCCTGCCAGCTCCCTCCTCCCAGGTTTCCCCCTCTACCCTCCCCTCTCCAACCTTCTTTCACCCCAGTTTCATCCCCTACCCCCCACCCCAGTTTTGTTCAATAAAGAGGCTTTGTTGTAATGAACACGTCTTTTATTGTACAGCAGGAAGGGGGGTTAGGGAGGAGTAAGTGGAAGGACATGAGGGAGGAATGAGGCACAAGTCCCCACTGGGGCACACTAGGGAGACTGTTACTGCCTGCAGAATGTGCTGCCAGGTTCTCAACAACACGTCCAGGAGAAGCACCAGGGTGCCCAGGAGCGGCTCCGGCTCCATGCTGCAGAGTGCTGTGATGTCCTGAGTGAGGTCAACCAGAGCGCACAGAGAAAAAAAAAAATCAGCGAGGTAGGCAAGCAAGCAGGGAAACCTTAGAACCAGCTATCGGGGGGGAAGGGGGGGTGTCCCTTTAAGCACAGGTCTCAGATAACCTCAAGCAGCAACCTCAAGCAGCAGCCACACAAGGTTGGCTGACCTGATGCCCTGCCAGAACCAGTTCTGGCCGGCCTTAAATGCGATTCAGCATCCTATCAGTGTGGATGCATTATTTCAAAATGCATTTTGTGTGTAGACACGTTATTTCGAAATAAAGCAGCAACCTCAAGCAGCAGCCACACAAGGTTGGCTGACCTGATGCCCTGCCAGAACCAGTTCTGGCCGGCCTTAAATGCGATTCAGCATCCTATCAGTGTGGATGCATTATTTCAAAATGCATTTTGTGTGTAGACACGTTATTTCGAAATAACTATTTCCAAATAAAATACAGGACAATGTAGCACTTTAAAGACTAACAAGATGGTTTATTAGATGATGAGCTTTCGTGGGCCAGACCCACTTCCTCAGATCAAATAGTGGAAGAAAATAGTCACAACCATATATACCAAAGGATACAATTAAAAAAAATGATCACATATGAAAAGGACAAATCACATTTCAGAACAGAAGGAGGATGCGGGGGGGAAGAAGGTGAATGCCTGTGAGTTAATGATATTAGAAGTG